CAGTCTGCTTCCCGCCTGGATCCACTACTGTTTCAATACATTGCAATGTTTTGGTGCTAAATTCGTAAATACAGTCGAGTCTCGCTGATCCGATTTTCGCTCATCCAACGTTCTGTATTATCCAACACAGTCTGCCTCCCGCCTGGATCCACAGCTGTTTCAAAACATTGTGATGTTTTAGTGCTCAATTCTTAAATTCAATATTTCTTTTCCCTCCCTCCTTCCTTCCATCCTTCCATCTATCCCTCCCTTTCTTCCCCCCCTTTTTTCTTTCCTTCCTTCTCTCTTCCTTCCCTCCCTCCATTCCTCCTTCCATCCTTCTCTTCCTCCCTCCCTTCTTTCTCTTTTCCTTCCTCCTTTCCTCCCTTTTCTTACCTCCCTCCCTCCCTCTTTTTTCTCCTTTCCTTTCACCCTTTCATCCTTCCTTCCTTTCACCTTTCCTCCCTCCTTCCTTCTTCCTTCCTTCCTTCCTTCCTTCCTTCCTTCCCTTTTGTCTTTCCTTCTCCCTTCCCTCCCTCCCTTCCCTCCTTCCTTCCACCTTCTCTTCCTCCTCCCTCCTTCTCTCTTTCCTTTTTCTTCCTCCTTTCCTCCTTCCTTACCTCCCTTCTTTCTTCCTTCCTTCCCTTTCACCCTTCTTCCTTTCACCTTTCCTCCCTCCTTCCTTCTTCTCTTCTCCTTCCTTCCTTCCCTTTTGTCTTTCCTTCTTCTCTCTTTCCTCCCTCCCTCCATTCCCTTCCTCTTCTCTTCCTTCCTCCTTTCTTCTCTTTTCCTTCCTCCTTTTCCTCCCTTCCTTCCTCCCTCTTCTTTTCTTCCCTTTCCCTTTCCTCCTTCCTTCTTTTCCTTTCCTCCCTTCTCCCTCTTCTCTTTCCCCTTCCTTCCTCCCTCCCTCCTTCCCTTACCTTCTCTCTTCCTCCTTCCCTTCCACCCTTTATCCTTCCTTCTCACCCTTTCCTCCCTCCTTCTCTCTCTCTTTCTCCTTCCTTCCTTCCATCCATCCATCCGTCTTTCCTTCCTTCTCTCTTTCCTCCCTCCCTCCCTTGCTTCTCTTCCTTTTCTTTTTCCTCCCTTCCTTACCTCCCTCTTTCTCCTTCCCTTTCCCCTCCTCCTTCCTTCACCTTTCCTCTCTCCTTCCTCTCTCTTTCTCCTTCCTTCGCTTTCCTCCTTCCCTCCCTTCCCACCTTTTCTCCATTTGCTTTCACCTTTCCTTCCTTCTGTCCTTCCTTCCTTCTTTCTTTTTTTCCTTCCTCCTTGGCTCCTGGGGGATGTTTAGCTGGAAGAAGAGAAGGTTGAGAAGGAACATGAGAACCATGTTTCAAGATTTAAAAGGGTGCCCATTGAGGAGAAGGAGGGAAGGGGAAAGCTGATTTTCTGCTGCTCTACAGACCAGGGCACAAGAAGGGAACCATGCATTCAAATGGCAGGGAAAGAGATTTGACTGAATAGATGTGGAAGAACTTCCTGAGAGTGAGACCAAACTCTACAAGAATACTCAATCTATTTATATAGATTATACGTTTGGACAGGTATGCTGGGCCGGAACCGTATAGGGTTTTCTAGGTCAAGACTAGCACTTTGAATTGTGCCTGGAGTAAAGCCTCCAAAGGAGGAGCCTCCACCGGACTCTGAGGCATTGAGTTCCACTGTTGAACAGCTCTTCTTACGGCCAGGACATTCCTCCTGAGGTTCAGGTGGGATCTCATTTCTGCCTCAGTGAAGGATCCTGCATTCCTTCCTCCTTCTCTGTGCTCCAAGCACTCCGTAAGTGGGGTATTCCCTCAAAAGGAAAGTGTGCTGAGATTGAGAGCTAGTCTTTCTGCTTGTAGAAGAGGGAGAGGGTCAGGGCTGTTGGGAAGGGGCTGGTCCTCTTTCGTTTGTCAAGGACGAGCACCATTTGTGGACATTGTGCCGCGGCATTCCCGGTGGCTCAAGCCAGCAACCTCCCCTCCATCAGTGGCTCTTGTCAGGAAGCATCCGGAGTCATCTATGTTCAGTCGCGGCCACTTTTCCAATGTAGGGTCACTCGGTGACTCTTTATGAAAGAGGGAGGGAAGGCACATGGGGTAGACGGTCGGAAAGTCAGAGCTCCTCTCCGGCAAGATGTGCCAGCACGGCGATCGGAGGTGACAGCTGAACTAATGATGTCACTGACGCTGATGCGACTGGGCTGGTCCTCGCCCCCCAAACTCCCCATCCAGGGAGTACAGAGTTGGCAAGGTGGGGGCCGGGAAGCAGAGTCCCTTCCCAGCACATCTCGCTTCCAGGCACAGTTCTGCACGGGTGAGAACGCGGAGATGGTCGCAGGATCGCTGGCAAGTCATTTGGCAAAAAATTGAAGACCCCAGTAGACTGTTTCTCAACCTTACCCTAATGCCGCGACCCCTTAACACAGTTCCTCATGTAGTGGTGACCCCCAACCATAATATTATTTTCGTTGCTACTTCATAATTGTAATTTTGTGACTGTTATAAATCGTAATGTCAGTATCTGATCTGCAGGATGTATTTTCATTCACTGGCACAAATACTTGATATGAATATTTATGGGATGGGGGGAGGGAGATTTTGTCATTTGGATGTTGTAGTTGCTGGGATTTATAGTTCACCTGTGAGTGTTAGGGAAAACTACCCTCAAAACATATAACAGAGCATCCAAAACTAACAGGATACAAAAATTGAGCATTTTGGCTCAATTGCAAGCAGAATTTGAAGTGCCATGTGATGTAAAGAATTCAGAGCTTAGGAGGCAAACCTTCAGAGTTCAATCTTAAAAAATCACTAAAGGTTTATTTACAACTAGCTGTACCCGCCACGCATTGCTGTGGCCAACCCTCCCTCCCTCTTTCTCTCCTTTTTTTCTTTCTCTCTTCTTTGGAGGCTTTGAAGCAGAGGCTGGATGGCCATCTGTTGGGGGTGCTTTGAATGCGGTTTTGCTGCTTCTTGGCATAATGGGGTTGGACTGGATGGCCCAGGAGGTCTCTTCCTACTCTAGGATTCTATGATTCTACTAGCTGTACCCGCCATGCGTTGCTGTGGCCAACCTTCCCTCCCTCTTTCTCTCCTTCTTTCTTTCTCTCCTTCCCTCTCTTTCCTTCCTTCCCTCTCTTTCCCTCCTTCCCCTTCCTTCCTTCCTTCCTTCCTTCCTTCCTTCCTTTCTCCYTCCCACCCTTCGTCCTTTTCCCTTCCTCTCTTCCCTCCTTCCTTCTTTCCCCTTCCTTCCTCCCATCCTAACTCCTTCCGTTCCCCTTTCTCCCACTTCTTTCRTCCTTCTTTTTCCCTTCCTTCCTTCCTTTCCTCCTTTCCCCTTCCCTCCTTCCTTCCCTTTTTTTCTTTCCTTTTCTCCTTCCTTCCTTGTCTAGCTCTTCTCTTCTGCCCCCCCTTTTTCTTTCCCTTTCTTCTTTCTCCCCTTTCTTCTTTCTCTACCTATTCTTGGACTTCAACTCCCAGCAATTCTCCTGATCAATCTACCTACCTGTCTCTATCTAATCTTTCTATCTGGAGGATTGCTGGGAGTTGCAGTCCAGGAATAGGAAATTGGAASTATGCAGGGATTGGGATGCTCTGAAAGAAATCCAAGGAGAAGAAAGTTTGCATCTTGGAAGCAGTGCATTTGGATCATCCTCCTCTCCTAAAGGGCCTGGTCTAGGGGATGCCGGGTGCTGTAGTCTGGAAGAGAGTGTGGATATGCTATTGTGTGTTTTGTTTGCCAGGGGGAGTCATTTTTGTTCATGTGCTGTGCTGTCGTTTTGCTTTTTTGGCTTTTTAAGTCCCTTCCGCTGTGTATTTCAGTGTTTTTGTGAGTGATGGACACTCATTGGCCTGATAGATGTTACTGTGTCCAAATTCGTCCAGTGGTTTTTGAGTTATGGCAATCCCACAAACAAACATCACATTTTTATTTATATAGACTAGCTGTCGCCTGACATGCGTTGCTGTGGCCCAGTGTGTGTATATGTGTTTTGTGTGTCTATATATTTGTGTATATGTGTATGTATGTTTGTTTACATATATGTGTGTGGTTTGGTGCATGCGTTGTTCAGTCCCCACAAGCTCCTCCCCCACAAACTCATCCAGAGTTTTACCATGTTATGCTGTGCACACTTCCCGTTGAAATACTAATAAGTTTGTATTTGTTAAAATTGTTCTTCATTTTAATTATTTATTGTTTTTAAGTGTTTTTTGCACTACAAATAAGATACGTGCAGTGTGCATAGGAATTCATTCATTTTTAAAATATATATATATAATCTGACCCTCCAACAGTTTGAGGGACTGTGACCTGGCCCTCTGTTTAAACAGTTTGAGGACCTCTGGTCTATACTAAGTTAAGTAAACTGCTCCTTGTTGAGGACTTAAGACTTGGGCAGTGTGGGGTTGAATCCCAACACTGCGGTGTGTTCCTTCTGTTCTCTGCCTTGGGAGTCTTCCACTGATGCGCATGACATTCTCACCGGGAATGACTCCACGGTCATGGCATCAATGTCCTGGATTCAGGGCCTGGGCTTGGCTGGGAATCCCAGGGAACCCATCCCCATCAAGGCAGCCCCATTTCTGGCCGATCGGGAGGTGACTGTGCTTCAAAAGGAGGGTGGGCTGGCACTGCCGTCCTTTTCCATGTGGCTACACATGTTTTGCATCCCATTAGTCATTCATTGCGCTGTTTCAGTTGAGTTGTTACACTGAAGGAGTTCACTGATTATCCAGCATTACTACGGGCTTTTGTTCGCTAATTCTCCTCCCTTGGGACAATTGTAATTGTGTCTCAGGCCAGATTCATAAGCCAGCTCAAAATGGAATATGTTTTTTTTCAAACTTTGCTGCCGCGCTCCATGCTCAGAGCAGTGCTTCGATTCAAAATGTAATCAGCCTTCAGCTAATGTGATAAAATTGGTGGAAGGAAGAAGTGCCGCGAGAGGGACGGATGGAAATGATTTATGCGGAGGATAATTTCCCCCCTTTTATGGCCTGTTTCCTGACGTTGCTCTCTGTTGTTTTGTTTTCCAGGACCTGCGCAAACAGGTAGCTCCGCTCCTGAAGAGTTTCCAGGGAGAGGTAAGCCTTTGTGCGTCCAGACTTCCTTTCCAAAACCATTTTAATTCCTTACACAGTGATGGGCAACCTTTTGAGCTTGGTGTGTCAATAGTCGCCAAAAAAAAAACCGAGCATAACTCGGGTGGGGTGTCACTTTGAGAAGAAAAAATAATTTCATGATATTTATAGTTTAATAACAAAAATATATTATTGTATTATATAACTGTATTTAATAAACCAAAAACTAATTATTTAACTTACCTGATTTTTCTATAATGCCATATATGTCGGCATCATAGAAAAATGCTGGTGTAGGAACCGAGGATGAAATGTCCTTCTTGGGATGCGGCAACATCTTCTCTATATGCAGCCGCATGCGGCTGTGTGTCATTGAAAATGGCTACGCGTGTCAGTGCTGACACACGTGTCATAGGTTCGCCATCATGGTCCTTACACCAGGGGTCCTCAAACTAAGGCCCAGGGGCCCTATACGTCTTTATCAATGACTTAGATGAAGGGTTAGAAGGCAGGATCATCAAGTTTGCAGACGACACCAAGGAGGGAGGGAGAGCCAAGACTCTAGAGGACAGGAGCAGGATTCAAAACGATCTTGACAGATTAGAAAGATAATGGGCCAAAACTAACAAAATGAAGTTCAACAGTGACAAATGCAAGATACTCCACTTTGGCAGGAAAAACGAAATGCAAAGATACAAAATGGGGGACAGTGCCTGGCTCGAGAGCAGTACATGTGAAAAAGATCTTGGAGTCCTCATGACAACAAGTTAAACATGAGCCAACAATGTGATGTGGCGACAAAAAGCCAATGGGATTTTGGCCTGCATCAATAGGAGCATAGTGTCTAGATCTAGGGAAGTAATGCTACCACTCTATTCCGTTTTGGTTAGACCACACCTGGAATATTGTGTCCAATTCTGGGCACCACAATTCAAGAGAGATATTGACAAGCTGGAATGTGTCCAGAGGAGGGCGACTAAAATGATCAAGGGTCTGGAGAACAAGCCCTATGAGGAGCGGCTTAAGGAGCTGGGCATGTTTAGCCTGAAGAAGAGAAGGCTGAGGAGATATGATCGCCATGTATAAATATGTGAGAGGAAGCCACAGGGAGGAGGGAGCAAGCTTGTTTTCTGCTTCCCTGGAGACTAGGACGCGGAACAATAGCTTCAAACTACAAGAAAGGAGATTCCATCTGAACATGAGGAAGAACTTCCTGACTGTGAGAGCCGTTCAGCAGTGGAACTCTCTGCCCCGGAGTGTGGTGGAGGCTCCTTCTTTGGAAGCTTTTAAACAGAGGCTGGATGGCCATCTGTCAGGGGTGATTTGAATGCAATATTCCTGCTTCTTGGCAGAATGGGGTTGGACTGGATGGCCCATGAGGTCTCCTCCAACACTTTGATTCTATGATTCTATGACTCAGGTCGGTTTACAGCATATATGCAAATACAATAATATACAAGTACAACAGAGTGCAACATCATTACAGATTAAAATAGTACAATAAAATACAGTAAAAACATCATCATTACAATTACCCAAGCCAGATCGTCAATACAATCACAGTCATAGTCATAGTCACAGTTCATCATCCTCCTTCCTTGTGGATGAAGGTTATAGATTCAGTCCTCAAAAGCCACATTCCAGAGCCAGGTCTTTAGTAATTTCCTGAAAGTCAGGAGGGAGGGAGCAGATCGAATCTCTAGTGGGAGGGAGTTCCAGAGGAAGTTCCAGAGCTGGGGAGCCACCACCAAGAAGGCCCTGTCTCTCATCCCCACTAAACGCGATTGCAAGGGTGGTTGGACCGAGAGCAGGCCCTTCCGGAAGATCTTAATAACCTTGATGGTTTAAGAGCATTCTTTTAATTCCTTACACCAGGGGTCCTCAAACTAAGGCCCGGGGGCCATATACGGCCCTCCAAGGTCATTTACCCGGCCCTCGCTCAGGGTCAATCTAAGTCTGAAACAACTTGAAAGCACACAACAACAACAACAATCTTATGTCATCAGCCAAAAGCAGGTCCACACTTCCCATTGAAATACTAATAAGTTTATATTTGTTAAAATATAATTTTAATTATAATTAAAACTAGTGTATATGCCTAGCTTTGCACAAGACTGTTGCCTGCCTACTTACAAGGTTCAACACCACAATGTTTTCTTGGCCACAGTCTGGCAAAACGGTGGTCAAATTGCCTTCGGGCATACATACTGTATATACTTGAGTATAAGCCCAGTTTTTCAGCCCTTTTTTTAGGCTGCGAAAACCCCCCCCTCGGCTTATACTCTGGTGAGGGTCCTGGCGGGAAGGCATGGGACCGATATTTCTACTATCATTAAGAGATTAAGCAGAAAGGTCCTGCCTCTTCCTCCTCCTTGCCCTCTTTACCTTCCTCTTCCTCCTCCTCATTGCTGCCTGGGCCTCTTGCTGCCGCTTAGGCCCCGCAATTGAGGAGGTGGCGCCTTTCTTCCTGCCAACAGGCCCCTCAATCGCAGGGCCCAAGCAGTGGCAAGAGGCAGAAGAGCCGACCCCTTACCCTCTTTACCTTCTTCTTCCTCCTCCTCGTCGCCGCCGCCTGGGCCTCTTGCTGCCACTGGGAGCCCGCGATTGAGGAGGTGCTGGTGGCGTCGCATGGCCCAAGCAGTGGCAAGAGGCCTAGGCACCAATGAGGAGGAGGAAGAGGAAGGTAAAGAGGGTGAGAAGGGAAGAAGAGCTGACCCCTCACCCTCTTTACCTTCCTCTTTCTCCTCCTCATCGCCGTCTGGACCTCTTGCTTCGGCTTGGGCCCCGCGATTGAGGAAGTGGTTGAGGCATCGCAGGACCCAAGCTGTGGCAAGAGGCCTAGGCAGTGACAAGGAGGAGCAAGAGGAAGGTAAAGAGGATGAGGAGGAAAGAAGGGCTGCCCCTCTCCCTCTTTACCTTTCTCTTTCTCCTCCTTGTCGCCGCCTGGGCCTCTTGCTGCCACTGGGAGCCCGCGATTGAGGAGGTGCTGGTGGCGTCGCATGGCCCAAGCAGTGGCAAGAGGCCTAGGCACCAATGAGGAGGAGGAAGAGGAAGGTAAAGAGGGTGAGAAGGGAAGAAGAGCTGACCCCTCACCCTCTTTACCTTCCTCTTTCTCCTCCTCATCGCCGTCTGGACCTCTTGCTTCGGCTTGGGCCCCGCGATTGAGGAAGTGGTTGAGGCATCGCAGGACCCAAGCTGTGGCAAGAGGCCTAGGCAGTGACGAGGAGGAGCAAGAGGAAGGTAAAGAGGATGAGGAGGAAAGAAGGGCTGCCCCTCTCCCTCTTTACCTTTCTCTTTCTCCTCCTTGTCGCCGCCTGGGCCTCTTGCTGCCACTGGGAGCCCGCGATTGAGGAGGTGCTGGTGGCGTCGCATGGCCCAAGCAGTGGCAAGAGGCCTAGGCACCAATGAGGAGGAGGAAGAGGAAGGTAAAGAGGGTGAGAAGGGAAGAAGAGCTGACCCCTCACCCTCTTTACCTTCCTCTTCCTCCTCCTCATCGCCGTCTGGACCTCTTGCTTCGGCTTGGGCCCCGCGATTGAGGAAGTGGTTGAGGCATCGCAGGACCCAAGCTGTGGCAAGAGGCCTAGGCAGTGACGAGGAGGAGGAAAAGGAAGGTAAAGAGGATGAAGAGGAAAGAAGGGCTGCCCCAGTCCCTCTTTACCTTCCTCTTCCTCCTCCTTGTCGCCGCCTGGGCCTCTTGCCGCCGCTTGGACCTCACGATGGAGGAGGTGGCAGAGGCGTCAAAGGACCCAAGTGGTGGCAAGAGGCCTAGTCAGCGATGAAGAGGAAAGGAAAGAGGGTGAGGAGGGAAGGGCTGCCCCTTGCCCTCTTTACCTTCTTCTTCCTCCTCTTTGTTGCCACCGCCTGGGCCTCTTGCCACTGCTTCGGCCTGCGATTGAAGAGGTGGCGGAGGCATCACAGGACCCAAGCTGTGGCAGAGACAAGGAGGAGGAGGAGGAAGGTAAAGAGTGTGAGGAGGGAGGAAGAGTTGCCCCTCGCCCTCTTCCTCCTCCTCGTCGCTGCCGCCTGGGCCTCTTGCCGCCACTTGGGCCCTGCGATTGAGGAGGTGGCGGAGGCATCGCAGGACCCAAGCGGTGGCAGGAGGCCTAGGCAGCAATGAAGAGGAGGAAGAGGAAGGTAAAGAGGGTGAGGAGGGAAGAAGGGCTGCCCTTTGCCCTCTTTACCTTCCTCTTCCTCCTCCTTGTCGCCAGCTGGGTGTCTTGCTGCCGCTTAGGCCCCACAATTGAGTCGCCGGCGGAGGTGTCACAGGGCCCAAGCGGCGGTTGAGGAAGCAGCGGATCATTGCTGCTCCAGAAGATAAAGAGGGTGAGGAGGGAAGAGAAGGGGGATCCCTACTTCGTGGAATTTCACTTATCGCGGGTGGTCCTGGAACGTAACACCCGCAATAAATGAGAGACTACTATATAGACAATTCGGTCTCTGTTGCCCATTTTTGGTCCAAAATTATTTCTCTGCTTGTGTTCCTTCTATTTTATCAGTTTTATACTTGTTTATTTATGCAGAAATAACTAAGTATATCCCACGTAATGTAGAGTGCATCGTTCTTCCTGCTGAACGGAGAACGCATCGTTCTTAGACTTCTGTTTCCTCAAAGCTGGCGAATGTCAACCAGGCCATCAGGTCTTAGATGGGAAACCTTGAAGAACCACTCAGTGTCTCTCAGAAGCTTGTTTGATCCTCGGGTGAAGGAATCCACTCTCTGCCACTCTGGTTTCTCTCCCACCTGACTCCCATTTCCAAGATGCCTGACGTTCCACGTCCAAAAACGTAATTAATCCAATTTCTTGGCTTTCGACTTGCGCCACGATGGCTCAATTTAAGCCGCATCCGAACTGCGGTTCAATCTCCAGGCCAGGTTTTTTGGGTAATTGGAACCACATTTCCCTTCTGAGGAGCTGCAGCTGGTTTGGTTCTGCTCATGCAGAAAAAAGGATATAACCTTGCATAACATCGGAAATGAACGGTCGAGAGAGAAGCCAAATTCA